CACCCCCCCCCCCCCCCCCCCGCATGTAGCCCTGAAAACAGCCCCGTTTCATCCATAGCCAAACCCGGTGAATGCTCGACCTGAAGCCGTCTGCTTGCAGGCACGGGTCCTGGCCAAGCCAACGCCCAGCCACTGGGAATGCCGACCTTCGAAGCTGACGGTTGAGGTTTAAGGTTCGTGGACTGTACCAAAATCTAATTGCACCCGTGGTGGTACTCTTTCTTCTTCTTCATGTTGGTATTATTCTTCCTGTCGCCTCGCTTATCGCCATGATCCCCAGAATCATCGCCAAGAGCAGATGGGCATGATGAGGTGATGGGGTTGGTTCAGAACTAGCAAGTCTCGCCCGCAATGCCGGGTTGGTCTGACATTCATCGGCAATGCTGAAGCAGCTCCTCAAGAGCGCCAGGAAGCCGTCCGGCTATTGAGCATGCACGCAGCGACGTAATCCCTCAAGTGTATCCGAACCGATCTCAGCTTCTCCAAACAAGGCCGAGGGGAAGCTAGTTTCTGTTCATTCCCAAGTCGAGCGCGGTGTCTTTCAGGGTTTCCGGTGGAGGCCCGCTCCTGTTAGAGCTGGCCACTCTGCATGTAAGTTGACAAGTAGAACCCTTACTTTGTAAGTGTACGACTCCGGCAATGGCAACGGTGACCAAGATGATAGGGGTTAGGGTTTAAGATATACAGTTATACGGTAGAAGTTGAAAGCAGGACCGCAGTTCTAGAAAGTGCAGAGGTTGTGCTACTTCGACCGAGTCCATGTAGATACTGCAAGGGTGGTCGTTGTGGCAGTTTCAATTTTCAATGTTTCAGTCAGGATCTGCAGGATAAGGTTTTGCTGGGACTTTTGGGAAACCTCCAAGCTTATGCTACGGTACCTACAGCAATCATTGTGAAAGCCTGTAGCAGGTATGGCAATGCCGAGTTGGAGACCAGCGATTTCTTGTTCAGGGGCCCCCATGCCGTAAGCAACGACAGCGCTTAGTGTACAGATGTATAAGTGAAACGGCAAAAAAATCAACCTCTCTGTGACACACTGAAAGGACCAAAGTACGCCGTGCACACTGGAAGCGGAGATCAATGCACACTCGACCCAACTTCAAAGAGCATGAGCATCGAAACGATTCCCCAAGCTACCATTTAAGGTGCCGATAAATCCACATCTTAGCATAGTCAGACTGGCGGCGGCGTAGTAGGCGAAGATGACGACGGGTGCCAGGATCAGCTGCCCTTAGTAAGGTGGCAAGCTTGCTCGCCCCAATGCCTGATCCCAAGTACCCCGACGGCTCCTGCCAAGACCCCAAACGATCCCTAAATCCAAGAGGCCCTAAACCCAACCCCCCCCCCTGAACCCTAAACCCTAAACCCTAAACCCAACCCCCCCCCTTCACCCCAGGTCCTAAACCTGAAGTTCACCAAGAATCGCCCACAGCCTTTCAGCGAGCCTGAGGCGACCTGGGGCTTGCATAAATAACGTATATACTGTATAAAATATGCGTATAGAATCCACATGATGCATAAGATAGTGTAATAGAACAGAATAGAATAGAATAGAATACAATAGAATAGAATAGAATAGAATAGAATAGAATAGAATAGAATAGAATAGAATAGAATAGAATAGAATAGAATAGAATAGAATAGAATAGAGTAGAATACGATAGAATACAGCACAATACAATGCAACAGAATGGAACAAGAACAGAATAGAATCGAATTGAATGGAATTGAATAGAATTGAACTTAGAGTTTAGATGTGGACAGACAGTGGGCTTTGCCGGCTCGGGGCTTTAGGGATTCATGGGCAAGATGTCTGCAGACACTGCGGCTCATTGGGCGAGGATGATTTGAAGGGTGCGGTGCCTGGGGTTGTGTATCCGAGAATCGGGATTGGAAGAGCCCTGTGATTCGTTCAAAGCGCCAACGCGATCCACACATCCAAGATATCGCTCGCTTTAGGCAGGTCCCACTTCTAGTGTTTATTACCGCCAACATAGAAGCTGTATGCATCTTGGTCGCAGTGCACATGCCATCCAGGGCAACGTAAATCGAGCAGATTGACATGATTGGATCAGCATAATCCAGCACCTGACGCAAAAGACGTAGACCATTCAGTTGCTCGAGAAGCCTCTTGTGGAACAAGCCAGGTGAACTGCGGTGCTATGGGATGTGTATGAAAAAGAGTAAACAACTCCATTCGAGCACGTTGGGGAGTGGCCCCGAGTTACATATGGTTCCACCTGGGATCCTAGCCTGAAGACACTGTTGTTCCAATCTCCCCACTGCCCGGAAGGCTTCATTTAATCGCACCAGTTTGTCATTCCGCACTTCCTTCACCAGGTCTGCGGAAGCGCTCCGAAGCAAGCGCTCCAAAGCCAGTCCTACAAAACCAACCGGTGGCCTGCATCGAGTCGAATTGCGGCTTGTACCCCCAAATCCGGACAGCCGCGGACCCAAAGCCGAAACCCCGAACCCAAGCCCGTCGGCCTCAAGAAGAGCACAAGAATCACAGGAGCTCTATTCATATATGTCTCTAACTCTATATATATATATGTATATATATACACATATATATGTATAGTATAGTTAACTGTATAGTGTACAAAATATGATATGCTATCATGTTCTATAAACTGTCTGCCAGGGACCTCGAGCTCCGAAGTGAAGAGCCGGAGCCAGGCTCTGCGACCCAGGAGCCTTGGAGCCGAAAAGAGGGCCGAAGCTGAGGCCGAAGGCCGAATTCTGCAGTCCCCAAAGCTTCTGGGTAGTACTCTAAATTAGGGTCCCCTTTTGGGTCCCCAATATTATAGTACGGCACCCGTATAAAAAGGCCCTATTTTGGAGAACTACCCTTGTAGTAATTGCAACAGCTTGTGTGGCCGTGTTGCAAACCTCACCCCACTTCTTCCACCGAACTAAGCCAAAAGACCATTCCAGCAAGGCCAAGGCACACCCCGAGAGCGATAGTGACGACCATGCATAGGGCAGAACTTAGCAGCTCCAGGGTTCGGGCTTGAGGTTCTAGGCAGTTAAGAAAGAAGGATGTCTACTCTGGGGGGGGCAGATACCGTGGCAGATCGGGCATCCTCAAACTGAAACAAGCTTTGTGCATGAGATTGAACTCAAAGGCAGATGGAACTCAGAAGCGTTCAATGCTTAGGGATAAGCAGTCTTTGGCCCGGGTCTTAGCCTGATTCCCACTAGCACGCCTATAGAAGATGTGTGGAACGGCAAAGAAGCGCGACAAGGCTGTGCAAGATTGGACTTGGAAACCGGCGTAAGGAGCGCCAGGCGGAGAATGCAAACCATCGGAATCGCAAGCCCTGAAATGCATGGAAAGTCAGAAGTAGTAAGTGAGTAAGTGAGTGAGTGAGTGAGTAAGTAAGTAAGTAAGTAAGTAAGTAAGTAAGTAAGTAAGTAAGTAAGTGAGTAAGTAAGTAAGTAAGTAAGTAAGTACAAGTATGTAAGTAAGGCAGTAAGCTAGAAGTAAGTAAGGGATGAACGGATAAGAAACACATTCTGGGCCACGCAGCCAGAAGTTCACCTGCGAGGCAAACTTGGCAGCACGCGGCCGTCCAGCACCCAACTCGTTGCTGACGCGGGTGTTCCTAGGCCCGAGGAAACAGACTCAAACTGCTGGCATTTGAGAACCTCTGCTCGAGTCGTTTTCGGAGCTTTCATCCGTACCGGAAGCGAGTTGTTCTGCGCATCAGAAAATTCGACTCAGACAAGGCTTCGAAACTTTGAGCAACTGTCGCTGGAGTGCGAGGGCGCTGCCTCAAAAGGATCGAGATTGTCGGGAGTAGGGTAGCGTTCGTGAGTGATGCGCGGACTTGCTGCCTCTGAGGGAAGCTCTGCAGCCAAGACCCTCAACACCTTGAAAGCCAGACACTGCCCACTGCAAAAACAATCATAATAAGTCGTAGTAATCATAGTCATAAGAACCATACTCATAATAATGGTAAAAGTGATAATCATAACAAAAAACTCATAACAAAAAACTCATGAGTGCTGCCCACTCTGTTGACCCCTTTCCCGAACAAACAATCTTCCCTAAGCCCAAGCATCCCGATCCAATAAAAAGACATACTCATACAGCAAGATCGAGAATATGCGAATAGCATAGACAGAGTTGCATTGGCCTAAGAAGACGACTACAAAGCCGTGTAGTCACAGTTTTGTCGAGTGGCGCTGCCATGCCCCAGCTCAAGGGCGGCATAAAGCCTGGGAATTGTTCGGCATGTCAAACTCCAACAGAGGTTGACAGCTTAAAAGATGAGAACAGGGATTGGGATTACCTTGGCCTACGAGAATGAAAGCAGCATGAGAAAGGACAGAAGCTCCCAAATTGCTGGCAGGCAAAACGACGGGCCGTTGTGTGCTGGAGGGCTGGAAGGGTGTGGCAGGATATTTCAGCATGCACAGCCATACTGGCCAGGGCCTAACCTAGACTTATGAAGAGTTGTGTTTGCACAGATTGGGAGTGTAACGGCCTGGCCTGCCAGGAGGCTTGAAGTAGCCGGAAAGTCTGGATTTGACGAGAGCCAGGCCGAACTGGAGGATTTGCTGCAAGGTCGGCTGACGACCCGGACGGGGCCGCCGGCTACAGGCTTTGCTGGCTTCTCTAGCTCACACGAAGGCGTGCCGGCCTCGTCTAGGCTTCTGTCGACAAAGCTGGGAAGAGGATCCGAAGACCCCGAAGACAAGCCTAGTCCCGGATCACTACAACCCCAAGCCTCCTATGACCAAGGCGTGAAGGCATGCAACAGATGGAGCAGGTGTTCGCGAATACAGCCATCGCGGTCAGGCTCACCTGGTCTACACAGGACTTGAGCAGCGCTGGACACTTGCACTTCCGGCAGAGGCCGTTCGTTAGTTGCTTGTAAACATGACAGACTCATCATAGGACAAGCACCGGCAGCCTAGTCTCCGGCACTGTCTCGCTGGACCTTCAGAGCATCACTTTACACGGCCATTACATCAGCAGAAGACGGCCGACTTTGTTCTGACTGAAGTGTGGCAAATTACCACTGCTCAAGTAACCCATCCCCATGTTGTGGAGCCCCAGCACCACCTCTGCTTCGGGAAGCGTGCCGGACATCAGGACAATGATTTCAGAAGCCCACCACTCCTGGAAAGGTTCTCTGCATTTGTCGGAGTGAAGGATCGACAAGAAGTGTTTTCAAAACAGATGGACCATTTCCGTGCAGTTTCACCCCTGATACACTAGTCACTACTCACCATTCGAGAACATGGGTCCTCTGGGCTGTAGTATCGGCTTTACCACGCACGCGGATCTCTCACTGGTGCGAGCCCCAAGCACAAAATCCAGAAAGGAGCAAAAGGGACGGTTGCAAAACAGCTTTGCTTGAAGACTCGGCCGGGGCTCTGAGATCATCAGAAAGTTGGGCACTGCCAGCTTTAGGAACGGGGACCAGCGCGTGAAGGCCAATCTGGAGAAGCCTTGCCAAGATCTCGGCAGTTCGCTTCGAAGAGCTCGACAAGTTCTAAAGACCATCCATGAGGCGAGGATTGCGTTGCTCAGGGATGTTGCGACAGCTGCACCGATGAAGCCTAGCTTCCTCGATTGGGGAGAAGGCTGGGTCCAGTCCAAAGTAGAAGGCATAAGGAAAAGGAGAGACGAACTGAAGAAAGCTTTGCTTTTCTGCACCCGAGCTGCAGAGGGTGGACAAGGGCCCAGCAGAGGGGCAGATAGACTGCGGCCAAGATAAGACCTCCAGTTGCCTGGACGCCTGTCATGCGCTGGGCTGCCAACCAGTTCTGAGAGCACTGCGTGACGAGGTAGCAGCACACCCCCGGCAGCAGATACTTCAGATATCTCGCAGCAAGGGCAGCCACGGCTTTCTCTTGTCCCACAGCCAGAAGCAGTGGTTCACTGCTCAGCCAGAGTGCGGCGATCAGGCCCAGCATGACGAGGCAAAGCAGAGTACATCGCTGTAGACTTAAAGAAACCTCTTCGAAATTTCGGGCTCCAAAAGCTTGCCCAGTTGTGGTCTGCAGCGTGGTCGCGATCCCCACCAAGATGCCTGAGTCCCCAAACATCTGGAACTTGAAGAGGGAGTTGCATGCAAATGCCACGGAATGTCAATTCAGGCTGACTAAAAATGTGACTAGCCTTTGCCCGCAGCACTCGACCCCCAAAGCTGGGGGTCGAGCTGAATATTCTAGTCTATTCTGTTCCGAAACGACCGAAAGCACTCACAACCCCAAAAACGGAACCTCAAACCCTTGACCCTTCTTCTACGCTCAACCCTAGAATCCCTAAAACCTTCTTCAAGACAGATTTCTGTAGCCCGAGACGTTTGCCAAGCTGACGGCGAGCCCTACAGCTGCGAGCTCCTTCTCGCCCAAGTGACCAACCTGTGGCGATTCGGTTTTTACGTTTGGCGTTTCGGGTTCAGGGTTTAGAAGTTTGGGTGATTCGTATGAAGCTTGAGGGTCGAGGATTAGGGTTTAGGTCTTGAGCGCTGTTGGGTTGTTGGACGGCTCATGGAGGTTCTTTACTTTCGGCGGACTTGTCAATCCAAGCCCCTGCATAATCCATAATCTGGGGATGAAGTTGCCCAAACCCTCCAGGTACCTACTATATAGGGCCCCAGGACCTCTAGTACCCTATATAGTAGGTACCTGGGTGCTTAGGGTTGACTATTGCTATTGCCTTCTTCCGGACATTCAGCTGCAGCCAAGCGGCAATCACCGTGGAGGTCGTGGCCATGAACCGGTTGGCCAAGAGGCCGAGGCAGATGGGCGCCGCTAAACGCAATTGATCCAGCATCTCCTGCGCCAGGGTTTACGACTCCTGGGCTTAGGGTTGAGAGTTTGGGGGTTACGATTTTGGGGCTACTTGGGATAGTGAGGGCTAGACGGCTAGACCCTGTAAGCAGAGGACCGTATACAGGATACCGAAACTCAGAGACCCAGGCATGAGGAATTACTGGGCCTGGCGGACGCTCCGCCGGGCGTCTGGCTCTCTGCCCTCATCTTCCTTCCAGTCGCAGCTGGGAAGCAAGTGCTTGCGGGGCTTGGGGTCTGATCTGTGGGGCGAGCACCTAGAGACCTCCGAAAGCTTGCAGCCTTCGAAGCAATCAAAGCTAAACCACGAACCTCAACTCCCCGATGCATATGCCCGATCTGCTCGATCCTACAAGCAAATTGATCTGGACTCCAGCCTCCGCATCCAGTGACGGTGGCATCTCTGCTCGTGCCGACCAGGCAATTGCTCGAGCCCACGTCCGATAAAAGCGCAGAAACGAGGCTTTGCAGATTTCGGATTTGGAGGTTTCCGAAAAAAGGGGACCCTAATATAGTACCCCAAATGGCAGGATCCTTAGTAGAAGGACCCCAAAATAAGGTACCCCTTATTTTCGGAAACTCCCATTTGGACGTTTCGTGATGAGGCTTCGGGCAACGCGCTCAAGAGGCATTACAAAGGCCCGCTAGGGTCCGAATCTGTCGGCCAAATCTCGAGTAGGCTCAGCGAACAGCACACGTCCTACGCGACAGCTCATATCACCGTATTGATCAGAACATCCCGTTGGCGCAAGGGATTATCGGTCCATCTAAGTTCGACACTTGCTTTGCCCTGTGCTCAACTCTCCGGTCGCTCCGAAACTTTAGGGCTCCCTGCGTTGGGCTTGCGGCTTGGGGCTTCTAGGCTCTTCCAGGATTTTAGTTCAAGGGCTTGGGGTTGATCTGCCTAGGCCGGTATACATGGCACGGCGTGGCCGGAAGTCTAACTACCACAACGGAGTCGTCTTCCGGCAAAGGTCAGACCCGGCGGCTTGCAAAGGAAGGCATGAGGCATGGATCCGGAGATTTGAACTTCTATGGCCTTACGTACAAAGTGGGGCTGAAGGTCTTTGGGGGCATGGAGTCCGAACACAGGGACGAAATCCGAGAACCCGAAACCGAGTCTCCCACAACTCCTTCAAAGCGTTCATCATGTCCTTCGGAGCCCCGCTGGTGGAGGCACACTAAAACACGCGCCGCCTCCGGGATTGGAGGTGTCGCAGATCGAGCTCTACTTACACCTTCCGTCTGTGTCGTGGCATTGCAGCAATGCTTCATGCCTTTGAATTGCGCGAAGCTCAGCTGGTGGCCACACACCCGGTGAAGAACACCAGGACTGGCACTATCAACCAAGATGTGATAGGAAGTCCTGCAATCCCACAAGCACTCCCTGTGTGCACACCCAAACCATCTTGACAAATCCCGTGGCCACCCCTCATCCTCCTGCCTTAGCCTGCAGGCTACGACATGGTGTAAAAAGTCTCTATAATAAGTCGTTAGATGCTCTAATTTGCCCTTCAGGCGCAGTCTCCGGAGACGTCAGTCTCCGTACCACTGCTCCTGCAGGTACCGGAACAGTTGTCCTCTGTGGACACAACCTTGAAACTCAAACGTCCAAGCAGAAAAATGCAAGTCTGTGGCATGGTCCAGCTTCTTCACAGTCTCAGATCAGGTGTTGAGCGATGGTGAGCCGCAGACCCTGACCCTCTGAGACTCTTGAACGGTACAACGGGAGTCTCGTACTATACTCTCCTCCAGGCACCTGAACCTCGAAGCCGTGAGGGAAGAACTGGGAACAGACATAATGCGCGACGGCGCAGAGGGCTCAGGTTGGCATGGCCCTCTTTCAGAAAGTTCTCTATGCATGGAGCGGCCGGAGCTCTCAGATCGGCCGTTCCCATTGCGAGACCTCGGCGGTGCATAGATGACATCACCGCAACCCTTTGGAGGTTTCTCATGCACCTCAAGCACCTCTAGGAAATGCTTCGTGGTACAGACCAGCTCTACCACTTCAGAAACACAGACCCCGCACACAACGCCGCAAATGGCACCTTCATGCCGGATGCTATCGTAGACTCTCGCGGAAGCTCCTATTCGGTTACTCATACCACTACGTGCGAGGCTTCCACAAACTGAGATGCCGACTCATCGCAAAAGAAGCGGCTTTGCTTGTGCTCGCTCCCTGGCTGCCCTCGACATAAGCACCCAATTCGTGGTCCACAGAATGACCTGAGGTCAAGCGGCGTGACCCCTCAGCTCTTGTGAAAAAAGGGCACGCAAAACGTAGCTGAAGCAGCAGAAACTGCAGTCAAACCTCCCTTCGAGTGCAGAGAGTTGCATAGCAGCGTGGGACGACGAGGGTAAGGAAGCACAGTTCTGTCACGCAGTGAGCTGCTCCTAACCTTCGGTTCTACTATCCGCTCATAGCGACCTGAAGATGATACAGCTTTGCTTCCTTTCCAAGATGATCTTTATGTGAAGGGTTTCTCACCAGCGCAGATGAACCTGGCACACAAACACAGACTTACGATCGCCGAACCGTCCTTGAAGTCCTTTGGGCAATGCTCCAACTCTGGGTTGTTGACTGGTTTCCGTTGGTATGGCCTCGCAGATCCTCGTTTCCTATCGCATAAAGCAGGGTGGCGATTCCACGACCTGCCGTCTGAGTACCGTGCCGAGACGGCCACGCAGTGAGCAAAGGTCCCAACAGAGGATCCAAGGGCTAAGCCCTTGGCACTCATGTGGCCTCGCGGGGACGCAAGCTGCAGCACCCAGAGAACAGGCAAGGATAACTTAGTATAACCTAGAACTGCTGATGGTCCTGATGGTCATGATGATGATGATGATGATGATGATGATGATGATGGTGCTGGTGCTGGTGCTGGTGCTGGTGCTGATGCTGCTGATGATGATGATGAGGATGATGGCGATGACGATGATGATGGTGATGATGATGATGATGATGATGACGATGACGACGAACTATCGCCACCGCAATACTTGCAGGATGGTGGTAGAATTAGTAATCGGATCTCTTCAGAATCTTGGAGCAGCATGCAGCGGTGGTACCATTAGTAAGGGATGGATCCCCTCGCCCTCATGCTAGAAAGTCTGCTCGGCCGCCAAAATTTCTCTCTTGGAGCACAGTGACGCAAGGGTTGCGAATCTCTCCTTGGCCCACCTGGCCACGCAAAGAGCCAAGCAGACGGTATGCCGATGAGAAAGTATGAAGCCAGGACCTGCTGTCGAAGGCTTGGGATGGAAGGCCAACAGCTTAAAGGATGTCGCAGGCTTTGGCGATTCAAGAAAAATCTTCAGGTTTTGATCCATCTCATCACCTGGAGCTGATCTGGGGAGATGCTTGCCAAGTGCAACACTACTGCGATCACGAGGTCAGTAGGACCGCTGTGGCAGGACGACCATCCTGTTCAATCGAGGCACCACCGGCGCCAGCAGCAGCTGACCTTGAACGCATCATCAATGGCATGGGAGACATGGGACACTTCTGGCATAGGGAGGGATGCTACGACATGCTGCCGTGATATCCGGAATCCTCATAGTTGTGCGACCCACATTGCACGTGTCACATCCACTGGAGTACTACGATAACATGAGTTCCATTCCAACACAAGATCATCCTGCTTCCGTCCAGCACCGGGAAGCCTGACGAGCAAAACGGGCTCTGAAATCTTCTTGTGTGTCAAAATTGGCTGCGAGGTTTTCCCGCTTGCTTTGCTGTCAGGCAAAGAACAAGCGCATGTGCAAGGCCTGGAAGAATGCAGGTGCGCGCGCCTCCTGCTATGACAGATTCTGTCGCAGTCTTCTAGAAGGACGGGTGTGTGTGTGTGTGTGTGTGTACGCTGCATCTTTGTTGGGCTGGTTTGCCCTCGCCCTGTGCATCTGTACCTTCGGTTGCCTTCCCAAACCTGCAAGATCCATGAAAGAAAGCCAAACCCAGTGCTGGGTGCCCGGCGCCCACATCCCTTCAAAGCACCATTCGTCACCTGGGCTCGCATCAGATCCGAGGCATCAGATGCTCATGAACCTGAAGACTTCCAAAGCCCATGCAGCCAGAGTGGCTGTGCACATGCAGTCCAGGGCCACATACAGCGGACAGATGACCAAAATGTGCTTGGTGTGGTCCTCGACCTTCCAGCAAACCCAAACAAGCCGGGAATGCCCTGCACCTATGACCTATGATTTAGAGCAGAGCCTATGTCTCTTTTTCGTCTACTTGTATGAAGACAGGAGCCTCCAAGCCAGCGAATCCTCAAAACTAGATGCAGAAATCGACATCTACTCTAATGACATCTCCGGGCAAAGCCTTGCCGCACGCAGGAACGAGACCCTCAGGTGGAGCTCCTACCCCCACAGGGCTGTTCCCCCAAACTTGCGGCCTCCCTCTCGCAGGTGATGAAGTGAATCCACAGGCAGCGACCCGCCAGGATCGCGGCAGAGAGCAGCGAGGCCAGGCAGAGCCCCAAACTTCGGACAGATGGATTGGAGCGGCTCCCGATCTAGTGGCCCTATGTAGTTCGAGCAAGGTTTGGGGATGCAGTGGCGTACAGTTGCACAGTGAACATCATGCAAGCCTCGAGTCCTACCCAGAACCTCGAAACCCTGAAGCCCAAAGCCAAAATTCGGTAACACGACTGCCCCTCAGTCTGCGATGTTTCAGTCTTGCAGCTCACTGTCGGCAACCGTTCACGGCTAGAGCGGCGAAGGAGGCATGGCAGAGTACGGAATGATGCACTGTCATAAAACCTGACCAAGATTGAAACATAGCACGCACTGCCTGTAGTTGACTTTGGCTGCAAAGTGCGCCGCCCAGGGGCAGCCGGCACCCAGCTCGTTGCTGACGCGGGTGTTCCTGAAGCATAACACTAAGGCAGCTCATTCCAGGAAAGACGCAGTAGACGCCTACTAAGCCCCGAAAAATCCTGTAGCTCTTGAAAATGGAACTGTGTACGAACCGTATTAGCGGGGTCTTTCGGAGCAGCCCCAAAAATCTCGATGTCCGACAGCTCTGAATGCCTCTTGGAAACTGTCAGAATTTCTGAACGTGTCGCAAGGAAGCCTCCTGCCTTCCGGCTTCCAGTCTGCTGCATGGTTGAAGCTGTTTGGCCCAGGGCATGGAGGTTTCAGGAGTTTTGGGGTTTGGGGGCTTCAGGGTTTGGGGTTTGGGAGTTTAGGGTTTAGGAAGCAGGGCTGGCCGAAGTAAAACGACTGAGACGCGGACCCTGCACATCCCAAGCTCAGGGGCGGCATTGATAGAATCCTTTGCTGTCCCGAGAGAGCGTTGATTGAAACTGAGGCTGTCGGCTCTGAGCTTTATCATACATATTTTCGGCCGGCTAAAGATGCCAGAGGTCTGGGGCACTAGCAGTGAGGTCTGGATGATTGCCCCAGGTCATTGAAATGGAATCTCTGCATTCTCTGCTTACGAAACCCATGCGGACCCGAGCCGCAAAGCAACCCTGAGTAGCCCCTATAGAACGGTCACGCAAGCCTTTCAAGGAACTCTTAGCCGCGGAGCCTTACACTAATTTCTGGTACTCTGGAGTGGAGCCCGGCCGCGCGCAAGTGTTGGCAAAGATCGTCATGGCTGCCAAATTGGCTTCGGGGTCTGGCAGGGTCCCGGACAGCAGGACGATAATCTCCGTGGCCCAGCGCTTCTTAGCAGGATTGTGAAGTTCGTGGGGAAGTGGAGAGAAGTAGATGGTCTAACGAGGAGTCTGCAAAGCTAAAACTCTGGGTGTTTTACCGCATGCAATCCCATGTCTCGACTTGCAGAAACGCATTCACCTTCTGTCAATGTTTCCTTTGTAATGCTATCAACTTCGCCAGTCTTGACGGCTTTCTTCACGGGTCCCTTTTGTTGCTAATCCCTCGCACTAGGACCGTAGTATTCTGGGACTGTGCAAGTTCCGGTTCGCGTCACATTCACACACCAGGCAAGAAGAGCATGTGCAAACCAAGGATCCGAGATGACAAAGAGGCTCGGCACTGCCAGGTGGAGGAAAGGGCACCAATCCGTGAAAGCTCGGCGCGAGAGGCCCTGCCATGACATCGTTAGGGAAGAGCGGATGGCGATAAAGGTCTGACCAACCATCCACAGCATCAAGAACAGATGTCCCAGCGATGTCGCGATGGCAGCACCCTTGGTTTCCATGTGAAGTGGCTGCACCAAGATCCAGCACAACGGCACGAAGCCGGTCAAGAGGATTAACCCGCCAGTCCCTTGTACAGTGGTTATCCGCTGCGCTGCCAGCCAATTCTCCAGACATATCGTTACCATGTAACAACAAAGACCTGGGAAAAGATACAGTAAATAGCTCGCCGCGAGGTCTGCAACTGCCTCCTCCTGCCCTGTGGCTATGAGGAAAGACTTGCTGTTCAGCCACAGCACCCCAACGACAACAAGGACGACGGTACACAGTAACAGACATCTTTGAAGGCTTAAGCACACTTCTTCGAAGTTCTTGGCGCCATAGGCTTGTCCAGCCGTGGTCTGCAGTGTGGATGAAAGCCCGACCAGCACCGTGTAGCCTGAGACGTTAGCCAGGCTGATGGCCAATCCAACGGCCGCCAATTGCCTCTCACCCAAATGTCCCACGATGATGGTTGCTGCAGTGGTGACCAAGCCTGAAAGAGGAAGCCCCTACACTTGTTCTGTGTGGAGGCACGTACATCTACTGGCACGCTCATGGTAACTCGAGTTTATGCAAATCGCTAATCCATATCCCCGAACCCGAAACCCCAAGCCCGAAACCCCAAACCATCAACCCTGATGCCTAAACCCCCAAACCCCTAAAGCCCAAACCATGAAGCAAGCCCCAAAGCCTGACGCTTCGTCCCAAACCCTAAACCCCAAACCCTAAATTAAACCGCAAACCATGAAGCCTAAACCCCAAACCCTGAATTAAACCGCAAACCGTGAAGCCTAAACCCCAAACCCTGAACTAAACCGCAAACCGTGAAGCCTAAACCCTAAACCCTAAATGAAACCGCAAACCGTGAAGCCTAAACCCCAGTGGAGAACCGCTTGGCCAAACCGTGAAGCCTAAACCCCAAACCCTAAATTAAACCGCAAACCGTGAAGCCTAAACCCCAAACTCTGAATTGAACCGCAAACCGTGAAGCCTAAACCCTAAACCCTGAATTAAACCGCAAACCGTGAAGCCTAAACCCCAAACCCTGAGTTAAACCGCAAACCGTGAAGCCTAAACCCCAAACCCTGAATTAAACCGCAAACCGTGAAGCCTAAACCCCAAACCCTGTATTAAACAGCAAACCGTGAAGCCTAAACCCCAAACTCTGAATTGAACCGCAAACCGTGAAGCCTAAACCCCAAACCCTGAATTAAACCGCAAACCGTGAAGCCTAAACCCCAAACCCTGAATTAAACCGCATGAATTAAACCGCAAACCGTGAAGCCTAAACCCCAAACCCTAAATTAAACCGCAAACCGTGAAGCCTGAGCCCTAAACCCTAAATTAAACCCCAAACCGTGAAGCCTAAACCCCAAACCCTGATTAAACCGCAAACCGTGAAGCCTAA